CATCTGTGAGGAATGCCGACAACATTTTTACAAGATGTGTTCAAGGTAAGGGAAGGGAATTGACTGTTACTTATGTTGTCAATATCATTCAACCTCCTTTTCTTACCACTCTTCTAATTTTGAATTCAATTTTCAGTGTTTCTACTCCTTTCAAGAAAGCCCGTGACTTTGCTCTCTGGTTGTGGAGTTCCCATAACAAGGTAAATGAAAGATTGATGAAAGAAGAAGCATCCCTAGGCACTGCTGACCCCAAATTCCCGAAGATAATTTGGCCACCAAAGCAGCTTTGCTCTTCCTGCCACCTTGGGCTTGACCAGAAGAACAACAAAATTGAATGGAACCAAGATGAGGTCTTTAAGTTCTTGACTGAGTACTATGGTACAACGCTGGCATCTCTGTACAAGGACAGAAATGTTGTTTTAAATGACGGAACTGAAGCTGTTGAAGATTTAATAGTAGCAACTAACGCGATTGTGGTGCCCGTTGGAGCTGCATTGGCTATTGCTGTTGCTAGCTGTGCTTTTGGAGCACTTGCTTGCTACTGGCGTTCGCAGCAAAAGAGTCGGAAGTATTTTCACCACCTACACTCTTTAAAGAACATTTGATAATTAGGAGGGTAATGAACTCTTTCAAAATTAACTAATGACTGGATCCTGAAGAATTAAAAGGGGGGGTATAAGGAGTGAGGAGATTGTGTTTTTTGAGTTGTTGAGGTTCTTATTTATCATTTCTCTGTTTGTTTGCATAATGTTTCAGGCCAAGGAGAACATGGAAGTAGGGAATTGTAGACAAGTGCACTTCAAGGCGTATGAGGTGAATAGCGGCTTTTATAGGCATCATCCAATTTATGGTCTCACTCCAAAGAGCCTTGCCAAGTTCCTTTTTGAATCTGTTTCCATAATAGAATGTACAGAATACAATTCTTGCTCTGGAGACCATTACTGATCTGTGCTATTTTTTCTTTCACTTTTCTTTTTTCGTTGAGCTCATATCTACTATACAACCTAGGAATTTGGGGGAAAGGAGCACATGACATGTAACATTTTTGCTTTGTAATTTGGGGTTTATTTTTTCAATATCAAAGTAACTGTATAAGCCATAAAAGCATGAATTACATTATTGTCTGCTTCACCTTTTACTAAACACGTGAATGCAATCACAGGAGTCTAATATTGACCTTCATTTTGTAGGTCTTCGGTTGAGTTTTCTAACAGGTTCCTGCGGCTTTTTTGCTAGTCCCATGCTAGTAGTTATATGGAATTATATACTCTAACCCCCCCAAAAAAAAAACTTGAAATCTTCAACACGTAATGGTCGGTGAATTATTGTAAGACAATTTAGATACAGATGTTTAGAAGTTTTTGGTATTGTTTTGTATTAAAATTGAAAATTTACTCTAATAAGGTTTACATTAAGAAATCGTTTAGTACACGACAAATTTTTTCATGCTTAGGAATTAAAATTTTAGAAATCATAAAATTCTGTTTAGTCAGTTATAAATATTTTTGATATTTAAATGTTATTGAATAATCAAGTAATTTTACTATATTAAATAATCAAAATAAAGGTAATATAATATCTTTATAACATTAAAATTTTATTTTATTTCAAGAAAATTAATTTCCCACTTCTCATGGAAGTAATTTCATGTAAAATTTATATAAAAATTATTTTTGAAAATAATATTTCTTAGGGATGTTATTTTTTAAATAATAAATCAAAAGTTAAAAATTAATATTTTCAACATTAAATTTTCAGAAAAATAAAAAATTCATATATCAAACACTCCTCTAATCTAAAAGTCAGTGAGTTACTAAAATAAAATTTTAATTTTAATTAAAAAAATCGTGCTTAAAAGTATAGTTAGATTTAGATTTTGAATGTCACGATTAAAGGAATAAATATCATTTTGAACTTTGGTTCAATAATGACAATTTGTGGGTGCTGTACTGGTTTAGGCGTTCATCCTAGTGGAAGCTACACCCTCATTTTTCTCCTGTAACTGGAATCATGGACAGGACTATGTTGTTAATTTAGATTATTGAGTGGTGCCACAAGTGGTCATTCTTTTGGCAAGGAAAATCGTATAGTGAAGTAGAGGACAACAGAATTTGGTAAGGGATTGAGAAAAAAAATATGAAAAGATCAAGGTAACAATGACTCAGATTAGAAGGGCTATTTGAGAGTCGAAAAAGAGTGACCAACAAGGATGCCATAGAATATTATGGCAGACACAGTCATTTTCTATGTCTTTTCATTAATTAACCATACAAGTAAAATGAAACTCAAAATGTTAGACGAAGTTAGCATCCTTTAGTGAAATATATGCCTCGAAAGTACCCACTTAACTTTCATTGCAATGTATACAAGTCATCCATTTTTTTTATCTACCCATGTAATTTCTCTATATAATTATAAATTTCTATCTGTACATCTGAACAATTCCAATCAGTAAATAGAAACAATAATAAATGTATAACTTGTTGCTGCCAAGACTTCTCAAAAGAATAGCTATTACAGGGACTTGGTAATACAAATGGCATGCAATGCCCTCTTACGAGACACATGTTGCACATCTGAATTTCAGTGTAGCCATCCGTAGCAAATTCAATATTCTCAGAGAAGTTGTCTCCATCCAATTTTCATAAAAATCACAAGATACAGTGCAGCAACATCTAAAAGCAAGAGCTTTTCATATTTCAAATAGCTACTGGCTACAGAAGTTTTACAGTACATGTATGACATGAGGCTGAGGCTGTAAATCTGCTTGCTCGCTTTCATCATCAGATGAACTGGCTGAGGAATTAAGATGCTCCTAAAAGTTATAAATGGCAAAGCAAAAATACAAGAGACTTCATTATATGTAATTAGATGATTCATATGACATAGTGAATATGAATCAAGGGACGGAAACCACAGATTAACCCATGGTAGGTAGAGTAAGAGGTAGAGATTTACTCGATGCTGTCTCCGATGCCGCTGGATTAATGCCACAGCTCTAACCATGAAGTATATGGGAAGAACAACTCCGGCAGTCCGAAATAATAACAGCTATGAAAACTCCATTAAATTGAATAAACCTTGGTAAGTACAAGTATGATCTAAAACTCTTGCTAAAATTAAAAGTTGAATTGTGCAAAACGTACCAAAAAGAGTGGGAAAGAATACTCCTTATTTCCACTAATTACGAGGGGAAGTGTGTGTCTTAAAATCAGAAGAACCATGAACTACACAAGAGAAGCAATGAAGATTTGGAAGTGTCATAGCCAGTCGGTGTAAAGGCATAATCATACATGCATAAGAGGAGAAATGAGAGAGGTTACAATGACAGCAATTGAACGACAGCAAATCAAACTTCCTGTAGCAGAGGCTGAATACTGATCATAGTTAGAACTCGTAAGATTCTGGTCTGTGGGGACCATGCTAACCAAATGAGTACTATTCAAATCTCTTCTTGAAATCTCCCAATTTCCCCTGACATAAACATCACAGGATCACATTGGAAAACTGAAAGAGAAAAATAATGTTCACATGTTAACTCGTGGGGAAAAAAATAAGAATACTGCATGAGAGTTACCTGAAACTCATTGGAATACGACCAAACTGAAAGAGTGGTGGAGGAGCAGTATAACCAGGCTTGAACTGCTGAAATTTACAATATAGGGAAAATAATCAATTACAAACAATTCAAGTGAAAATTGATATGACAAATATAATGACTACCCAGAGCTGTATAACCAAGCTTGAATTGCTGAAATTTACATTATAGGGAAAATAATCAATTAACCAAATCAGGTCAAAAGATATGACATGTAATGACACCCGAAACCCAAATAATCCAGATGCTGAAAAGTATGCAGAAAGAATACGAGAATTAGGGATGAGAACAAATTACCTGGTGGCATATTTCACAGGTGGTGTCACCCTTCTCATTACACCATCGTTGTATACATCTGCGGTGGGCGTACTGCAAAAGTTCAATTAATAAAATACAAAATTGATCAAGATATCCAGCAATTACTCTGTATGAGTTATGATCAGACCAAACAATTGTTAGAGTTTGATAAAATACCTGTAGTTAATATATGCGAAACTAAAATAAAATGAAAAACCAAATACAGCATGCTCTAATAGAAAGATCTTTGGTTCCTAGCATTTCACCAATTACCAAAATCCTTTGGCTATCTTGGGTGGAAAGGAGGTGTTTTATGTGTAACTTGGTAACTGACATGTTAAAATGATAATTGTTCATTTGTTCTCATATCTACAAATGCAATCATATAACTGAATTACAGATAAGAAAGAAAAAAAAGGTTTTATGGTTAAAAATAAACTAGTTAACATCAGTAAATTCGTGTCCCTCGTAATTGTTGGTTTTCCATTAAACTTTAAAACACAGATATCACGGATTCATGTTAAGAATAACGCCACCACAAATTAAAATGCTTAAGCACAATATACTAGTAAAAGAACTAACCTCCAAACTACCACAACAGGAGCAGGGTGTCTCCATATTGGAATCTTCATCATCATCATGACAAATCCTGCATTCTACCAGTTTCCCTGGACATTTTATATCATCCATACCCATCTTCTTCAAATTGAGATCAATTTTTGCATCATTCAGTGCTGAGGATGTAGCCAGCATTGACCTATTCCTGCTTTCAAGCGCAGCTTCTAATGTGGATTCAGTAAGCAATCGATCAACCAACAACTCAAAGTGATCCCCCATATTTTCCCACCTAATACCACAATTCACTATACTCCCAAGGAAATTCCAAGTAAATACCCTTCAGAATTTCTGGAAAAGAATGCCACATGCAAGTAAAGAAACAAAAAAAAGGATGTTAGCAACATCGATAAGCATATATAGAAAAGGTCAATTTCCCATTTGAGTGCTCATTCAATTGGGAATTTTATCTTCATGCAGATATTCCCAGTTAGCTGGACCCCACATAATGCTTGTAGAAACAGGAGGTCAATATCATAAACACAAAGGAACACAAAGGTCCAAAAGTGGAACAAACACACCCCATCCACAACAACAACAAAAATATATATTTTTTTTAAATAAAGTTAATCGAATCTCACAAACTGTTGCAAACATGAATAAAACTGAATCAAATAATTTCAAAATTCATGTCATAGAATTAGGAATTAATTAGTATTTACAGTGAGAAACACAGCAACTTAAAGGGGGAGGGGGGTTGCACCCCCAGTAAGTCGAAACAAGTGCAGAAACATTAGAGAGAGAGAGAGAAAAAAAAAAAAAAAAAAAGTACCCAGAAAAAGTTAAGGGTGAAAGGGGGAAGCCAGATGAAGAAGAGAACAAAAAGCGAGCACCTTTACTCAGAGAATGAGTTAAAAAGAGAAAAGAAGGGAATCTTACAAGAAGGGGATCGCATTTTGTTGAAGCTAAGAAAGGTTTTGTGAGCTGATGAAAAAGGGGTTTGTAGAAACTTGTGGGGAATAAGAGGTTTGGGAACGAAGCAAGAGATTGAGTGTGGAAAGGCAGATACAATGACAGGTTTTATTATATATGGGAATGAAGAATGAGGTTGATTGAGAGATAAGAGAATGAGAATGAGAATGGGAGCTTCATGCGAATGGCAATGCCATGATTCAACTCTCTCATTCTTTTTCTACCCTCAACTCTCTCTCCTTCGTCCTTTCTCTAACTACCTCCCACATCGACATACTGTGCCATCAACGTGTCCCAACTGAATAAAAATATCTTTTTTAAGCTAATTTACAACTTTTGCAACTATAATACTATCTCCTCTTCTCTGTATACTATCTTATTCATCCCTCTAATACTAATTCATTCAAATTAATTAACTTTATTTTAGTTCATCATATTACACATTTAAATTTTATTTTATGCATATCTATACAATTATTTAATTAATTTAATTTTAGTTAATGATGTTACACATTTAAATTTTATTTTATATATATATATCTATATAATTAAATTTAATTATTTTTTTCATCGATAAGTATGACTTAGAATGAATTTTCTTTCATGAGAAATTAATTAATGTCTTATTATAAATTAAGAATATAAAAAATTAACAATTAATATTCTTATACTAAAAACAAGATGTAATAATAAATTTTTGGTGTTTTTAGTGTTTGTAATTTTTTTATATATTTTTTTACTCAAAATAATTTTTAATTTTTTTAATTAAAAATTTATGGTTTTAATCTCCAAAATATTAAAAAGAATGTTATTTTAGTTCATCTGCCCACTTATATTATTAGTAGTTATGAGAGATTAAAATAATTTTTTTAAAATTTTCAACTAAAAAGATAAATTAAATTTGTATAAAAATAATAATTTTTAATATTTTGAGACTAAAATTATAAGTTTTAAATTTAAAAAATAAAAAAATATATACTCTAAATTTAGAGGACTAAAAATATAATTAAACTTTTTTTAATAAATAAAATTTATGATGACAAAAACAATTCAAAATTAAGACAATATATATAAACTATTTCAATCATTATATCAACTCTAATAGTTATATAACAATAGATTTCAGAACTTAATAAATATAGTTCTAATAATTCTTTTTTTTTTCAATAAAGATAATCCACACACATATATAAATTATTGTCTTAATAACTGTTTTTTTTACAAAGATATTTTTAACTGATTTTCTTTAATAAAATTATTTTTTTAAAAGTTTCTCAACATCCCATTTCTTTCAGTTTCATCTTTTTTTATTTTCGTTTTTATGTGTACTTTAAATTTGTAAAATATCTTTAATCAAACTAACTTTATATTACAATAGAAATTATTCATATATACACATGTATTTAAAAATAATTTTAATCATAAATATTTCAATTAACAACTAAACATCTATCTCACTTTGAAAGAATTAAAGAGAAAAAACTAACTTGATCATCAACGATGGAAAATGTTTTATAATAAAAATATAGATTATTTTGTTGAATTCACTTGTTCTGCATCGTTAATGTATATATTAACAAATTAATTAATAAGAAATTAAGATACATATAATTTTAAATATAATTATCATAAAAATCAATAAATTTATTCTACATTATCATTTATAATTATATAATATAATAAAAAAAATGACTATTGATACATATAATATTTAAGATAAAATTTAGATGTAGTTCTTTAGGGTCGTTCTTTAAATACATTTAGAGTTTTTCATTGACAACTTATGTTAATATTTAAAGCAAACTATTATTATGCATATTATAATGTTGGCTAGAAAATAATGCTAAAAAACATTCATTTTTTATTCTTTATTATTATTATTTTTAGAGAAATTAGTTTATACACTAACAATATAAAGATATTTTATCTCATCATCTAATATAAATGGTTATATATAGTATGTTTATTTACTTTTACAATATCAAATTTTAGCAATGCATAAAAAATAAATTCATTTTTATTTTAATGGTACATAAAATAAGAAGTATAGAAAAAAATACAATAATTTATTTATATTAAACATATAAATGAATTGTTTTTAAAAAAAATATTTTTTTAGTATTTGAAGTTGCATACTTAATATATAAAATACAAAATAAATAAAATTAATTAAAAGTTTAATTAACATTAGTATCACAATTAGTTATTTTAATTTTCAGATTTTCAAAAATTATTTTAAAATTCATTACATATTTTTCCTAAAAATTTTATCATTAAATATTTTTTTTATCAATTTCTTATTATATCAATTTTAAAGTTTTATTATCTACATGATTGAGAATTTGAGACAAGTCTAAGATAGAAAATAAATTATTTTTTTCTAAAATATAAATTTAATTTTTTCTTATTTTAACTTAAATTTAATATTTTTAAGTAAGCTTTGATAAAAGTGAAAAAATAATTTAAGCAATTCAATTTATAAAAATAATAATTTACGAGTTTTTGGAAAAAAAATTAATGGGAATAGTTTATTGTAATAATTCAAAGAAAATAAAAAATATATAGTCTTTTATTGCATTTCCCCACAATTTACTCTTTTAACTATTATTGATGTACTATAACTACAAACTAACTACACACCCTCTAATTTATACAACCTATAGCCTATACGGAACAGAAACCCAATTCATTGTAGTAGGGAACATAGTGTTCTGAGCACTAAGAATGAAATAAAAAATATTTTTAGTGGACTTTACTTATTAAAAAGTAACTTTAAAACATCCAGAAATCATATTGAATAAAATTTTTATTAACATATTGAATAAATTTAAAATGGTCACAAAATAAAAAGTATTTCCCTCTCTTGGGCTTGGTTGGAAATAGGAATGTATTCTTTCACTTTCAGCACAAACAAACAACCCTTCTATTTCGACCTTCGAACCAAAAACAGACATAGTCTTTTTTAAATATTGAAGTAAAAGCTTTGTACATAGAATAGAACGGTAGAAGACATTTATTCGTGCACGTGAGGCATGCACCCCAATTCTTTAAAGCGTCACTCTAGCGTATTTCTGTTGTATATATTAGTGTATTACCGATATATCACTTTACCCTAATTCTCTTATTACAATCTTCAAAGTGATATATAGAGAGAGACTTTTGTTAAAGGTTACTCATGGTATATGTATTTTTTTTACATTACTTTAACCCGATGATATTGTACCTTCAAATTTAAAAGCGGATTAAGGCAAGCTAAATCGATTAGTTATACAAGCTTGTTGGTATTTATATGTTCAAAATTTAGAAATTGTGTGACTTTTAAGACAAAGTTAATTAGAGTAAATTATTTTAATTAGATATATGTAAATCATTGCTTGGTTATCTATCGACTTAAATAAAACAATGTTAAATATTTAAATATTATAATTAAATATATTTATAATAATTAGGATCAAATGTAACTATGGTGAGATTTTTGAAATATGTCTCTAAAAAATTAAGATTTAATACATCCAAACATAACATATAATTGATTCTTCTTTGTATTGGTAGATATGATTTAAGAAGAATTTAAAAAGAGGAAAATTGATTAGAAGGGATTTAATAAAAATATTCATGTTTGATAAAAGTGATTTATGAAAAAGTGTGTTAAAGTTTATGTGAATCCATAGATTGTAAAAATATCATTTTCAAAGAAGAGATTGTGTGAAATTGAGGTTGATTGAATAAAATGAAAAATATAATTATGTGTATGTTTTATTTTTATATGAGAAATTATCGTGACCATCATATTTCAATATTATCAAGATAATAAAATATGTAAAAAGAACATAAATAGATTAAGGTATCATAAGTGATCATATTAATACATATTATCAATAAAATACAATTTGCATAAGAATAACATAAATAATAGGATAGTTTAATCAATTATGTTAATTAGTATAATAGATTATGCTACTATATTAAAAAAAAAAAATTCAACTTCGACACATCATTATAAAAAAAAAAAGGTAAAATAGTAACTATATATTATTTATTTATACATAAAAATCTAACTATATAAAATATTATTTTAAAATATTAACTTTTCTATATTTTTCACTTAATTCTATTCTACCATATAATTACAAATACCATTTTATTTCACTTTATTTCCTATTAAATCAATTATTACACATTCCTTCTAGGTCTGTTTAATATCTCTCCCTTCCTCATACATCATTAAAATTAAAATAATACATTAAATTCTTTGAATATTTGGACTTTCACTAAGTTATTTCAGAGGAAGTCCTTATCATAAGAATAATAAACAAGAAGAGATATATTGTTAAAAAAAAACAATTACTATTTTTTTTAACGTTTTATGTTTTTTTTTTGTTGTAAATAACGTCAATTACCATGATTTTATAATTAATTATTACTTTAAAAATTAAAAAATTAAAAAATTATGTCAAAAATGATTTCTTATACGTACGTTTATAGTATGAATATGTATGTGTATTAAACTCAAATTTATATATTCATGACAGAGACAAAATTTGAATAGATTAGTTGCTAACAAAAAGAAACCAAACAACATTTGACACTATACAGAACAATTAATTTCCTTTGACTCGCGACATTTTCCATTTATTGCTTCCATGATATCATTTTCTCACCAACCCCATCAAGTAAAACTAATAAAAACATATTTAATTTTCTCTTATTAATTAAAGCTTATTCTAAAGTTGAAGTATCTGCTGTGATATAAGATTAAAAAAAAAACAAAACAACAACAACAATAACACGGTGAAGTATCGTGTTAGTAGTAGTAAATAGATAAAATTAAATGCAAAAGTTTTACTCATATTGGATTATTTCCATCTAGTGTCGTGTTTGCCTTTTTCATGCATATATTCTCCACCCCTTCCCTTTTTTCTTTGTGAGCTCCTTTTAAGTTTTAAACCCACCTTTTCCCCTTAAAAAAAACAAAAAAACCATGAAGTCTTAATTTCAAGTTCCATTAATTGAATACAAAAGGATTTGAACTAGACCCAATATGCCTAAAAATAAAAACAGTCTGGTAGTTGAATCAAATAACAGTCAGCGTCATTGACTATAAAATTCAAGAACGTCATTATATTAATTATCATAAGAAATTAAGAACATAAGCATTAGGTTAACCCACAACAATTATGATGTTTGACTGGTTAGGTTGAGCAAAGTTGAATGATATGGACTTTACTCATGCATAATGTCAATATATCCCATTTAATACATGATCTCACCTTCTCTTTATAAGAATATATATATTTTGATTATTCGATGGTTCTTTTTGCTCCTGCTCCATTCTAATCATGGAGGACTAAGCAAATCTCGTGGTACAATTAATCAGATTCGAATTATTGTGTAGGTGAACGACCAAACTAATTTAGGAGTTTATAAGTGCACGGAGGAATATGAAAGATGGTGCCTGATGAAACTGATTTTGACTTATTTAGAAACTTTTTAGTCAAAAGACGAAAAGCCAACATGGCCATAAATTATACTTACGTGTTTATTGAATTATTGAGTTAGTAGATTTGTTAATTTGGTTTATAAATTCAAACCCTCGTGTCGCCATTAATAAAGGAAAAGAAACTAAAAATGACATGTTAATTTTAGAGTTGTTCTCTTAAAAGTTGAAATCGTGAAGCTAACCACTGTACTAACATGTTGATATTTGCATATCAATGTTATATAGTTATTTCTAGTTGATGCTGCGCTGTCTTTTACTATCCTTATTACCACCTAAAATAAAATACTTCCGTACAATGAAGGTGTATGGCTGGAAAGATGAAAAAATAAGATAGAATATTAAAGATATGATAAATGATAGAAATTGAAGAGGGAGATAATAATAAGAAAAATAGAGCCAAAAGAAAATAAATATACGTCAAGTATTTTTCACAAATGAAACGAGGAGAGAATCACTCATGATTATGGGTAAGATGATAATATAACTATAGATTTTTGGATTTAATTTAGCTAGAAAAATAAAAAACACTGTTTCTCGTAAATTTCATGATACTCTGATTGTAGTATTGATGGAGTAAATAAATGTATACCCATTTTGATATTTTATAGGGCAAAGAATGAGATAATAGATAAGGGTAATATTAATATACATTTTACAAAAATAGCTGCTTAATTTTATTACACAATATTTTGTCTACTAAAATTTATTACCTGTCACCTACAAAACAAAATAAACAAATTATGTTAAAAAATAATTTAAATCATTAATAATATTATCAATATTTTCTAATATATCGTTCTCAATAAAGAAAACTGTCATACCAATTAACCTTATGTTTAGACATGATGACCTCTAATATGTTTTTATTAATTTCAATTTTGAAGAATTCCTTTTAATCGATGTTACAATCACACACATTTGGCAAAATTCTATAAGTAATAAAAACATTTAAACAATAATATGCAAATTTGACAGACTCAAAGATTTCAATAGCTAACATTAATTTATTAAACAAATTCATTTGCAACCCTTCAAATTTAAAGGAAATATCATCTAACAAATCAATATCTGATAAATTGTTGTGAGAAAAGGTAAAATGAAAATTAACGCAGTATTCTATTAATTATTGCAATCTAATAACTTGAAATTCTTTGAATCAAATAAAAAAAAAATTCAAATGTCTTTTATTGCTCTAAATTCATGAATATGAGTAAACGGTAGAGGTCAAATGCAAATAGGTGTTTAATTTTTTATTTTTTTTTGTTAGCCTTAATGTTTGGATGAGTTGAAATTTGAAAATTGAAGGAATATTGGGGAAATTAAGAGGATGAAGTGGAAACATACTCTCTATGATTTGAATATAAGTAACAAAATATTCAAATTTGTTGGTATTAAATATAAGCAAATCTTAATCAATATCACTCTATTTGATATACTAACATCCTAAAATACTCCTTTATTTACTTGAGGCTGTATTTTCAATGTCTTTTTTCTTTTTTTATTCTAAGAATGATAATTTATGAAAATAAGTTATTTTTAAGATAAGATTAACAAAATTAAATGATGCAAATAATACTTTTAATTTATGTGATTTTTTTTTGTTACTTATATTCACATAAGGAGGGAGTACTTGTTGAAGGAATTTAAAAAATAAAATAAAATAAAAAATTTCTTCTAACATTAAAGTTGATCCAGACAACTTTTTTATTTTTTCAAGCACCTTAGTCATGGCTATGGGCCCATGCTTGTTGTCCTCGAAGCTACTCAAAGTCAACCATGAAATGATATTTTTACACTCACAGTGATTCTACCTATATAGATTTGATTAGATGGAAAAATGAAATTAGAGAAAAGAAATAAAGGAACGAAAAATGAGAAAAAAAAGTTAACTCTTGGAGATGAAAACTCAAAAAGGAAAAAAAAATCTTTCACTTTTATTTTTACTAAAATTTCGAAATTTCTCTCTTTTTATTTTCTTCCATCATACTAAAGAGGTACTAATAAAGTCACACTTAAAATAATTTTTTAATTTACACTAAATGTACATAAAAAATTAAACTCATATAAATATGTAATAGATACTTAAAAAAAATATAAATTATAAAATAATGTGCCTATTTAAGTAAAATTTTATTTTCATAAACACTTGTAAAAAAGAAAATAAAATGGTAAAGTAAAATAAAGTAATACAGGACTGGTTGTGAAAATATGAAATTAGAAAAATTAGGGCTTGAAATACTTGGAAAAAAGTGTATGTAAATAATAGAGAGTGTTTAAGGGAGGGAAAGAAGTAAGAAGTAACGAACTGTGTAACTACTTAGTGGCGGCGACGAATAGCAGAAGGGCACGTATAAGATTGGAGTTGGCGCCAAAACAAGAGGCTGATCAATGGCGCCCTTGGCACTGCCACTGCTCTTTCTCTCTTTCGTATTCTCCTTCCCCTCTTTCAGCGACGCTCTTCGGCGAGAAGACATATTCGACG